ATATATATATGAAATACATTCATCTACTTTATCTTTTTCATTTGTTTTACTTTTAAGATAAATAAAGCAATCCAAATAAGACTCTTATCAGAAGGTATTTTGCATATCATTATACTAAAGACTCTAATAATGCTTCCAATTACTACTCTGCCCGGAAATAAGATTCTACCTACACAGTTCAAATTTTACCTCCTCCCCAATTGAACAGATTACGTAACATGAAACTTAAATTGTGCTTGTCATGGTTGTAATTTCTAAGAGGTCACATTTTTAGAGAGTGGGAATCAGCTAGAAACATTTGCTCATTTACTTATGGTTTAAAAGTACCTTCATCTCATAGTGCTTTCTTTCAAGAAAGTTAAGTCAACTAGAAAGTAAATATTGTGATATTGCTCTAAAAGCAGCTGATCCACCTCTAGAACAAATCACTAGTTCAAAGAAAGCAATTATAAAAAACAGATGGCACTCTGTACACTAAAACACTTTCTAGTTTTCTGTGTCTATACTGTTCTCCAGAAAGGCATATATTTGACATTTTCATACCTACTTCTCATAGGATGTGATCCGCAGAGACCTGTGCTTATATTTTCAACTAGCTTTATCTTCCTTGAATACTATGAGTCCAGATGGCTGCCTCCATCATTTACTATATAATTGCACTCACAAAATATAGACAAAGGTAAACAAACATCAAGGTCACAAATAGGATTATGATTTACAGATGTTCAGGCTGTTTTTACCTGAGAGATCTTCATTATAGTCCATTTTTTGGTTGAAAACAAAGCTGTTCAGCATTCTGTAGGGCCGAGCAGGCAAATTTACTTTTTCAATCTGAGCTTTCCCTATTACTATGGTACAAGGTGAGTTTGCATGACCTGTGCTAAACTGATTATTAACATTGATGGAAGGCTTCTGTAGGAAAAAAGATAAGATAGATAAAACATCAAAGCATAAATATGCATTTAAAGCAATCTTAATATAAATGTGTATAAACAAGCAATTTTTATTATAACCTCATACCTTTAGAGTATTAGATCTTCTTTGTCTTTTGTTCATCTGCCTTTGAGGGCCAGGTTTCACAGCTTTCATTTGTGTTTGTTTTGCACCAAGTTTTACCACATCTGCCCATGATTTTGCAACTATCAAAGAGAAAAGACAGTGAAACTTTTCAAAAATAGTGTCAATGAGGAAACTAAACTTAAAATATACTTACCAATACAATACTCACCAATTAGATTTGCTTCAGAAGCACCACTTCTTCTTTTGGAAGAAATCATCTGTAAAATGTCATGCTGACTTCGACTGATGGATGCTCTCTTTGAAGACAAGTGGCCACTCTTCCTCCCTGCTTTCTTAGGCATGTCTGTCTCATGTGGGGATTTCCCATCACTAGAGGCAGCGGAGGCCTTCATTGACCTTCCCTTTTGATCATCTGTCCTTATGGAAGTTATTCTAGGACTAGGCACTAGAGCATCTATGCACGCATTCTGTGCTTTCACTTCTGAAGATTCTTCTTTTCCTGATGATTGAGGCTGCTCCTGACAAGACAGAAATGCTAATGAGAAATCTTGTCAAGAATACATAACATGTCTTATGCCTGTTAAAAATCTATTCAAAGAATTTCATCTGTTTAAATCTTGAAGCACTGAATATTCAATCTACTTTCAAAGTGAAGGTAGAGGTTAAATTTGTCCCACTCACTGAAGAAAAAAGAAAGTAAAAGCAGTCATCAAGCCTGAATTGAAGTATCTGAGGTGGGAAGATGCAGAGAATATCCTGCTCAGTGAGACAAGAGAGCTCTGACCAACACTATTGTCATTCAGTCGTGGGTCTACATGGAAAGAAAACTGCTCACTTTCCCTAGACAGGGTAAAGCAGGAGCTAGGTGTGGCTTTCCATCCCTTTTGGTACTAACAGAAAAAGCCTGCAAAATCCTTGTTATGAAGGTGAGCTATGTGGCCATACCTTTCCAGGGATTTAAAAAACAAGGGAGCACAACAACATGCAGCAATAAATGACTAGAAGATTTAAAAAGCTGATTGTGTGAAAAAAGATATTTTACCATCAAAGATCTTTCTTCTCACCAGTTAAATGCCTTCTTATACCCTTGTAATCTTAAAAAATAAAGTGACTCTGTAGTTATATGTGGCAGTGTAACCAGACATGTGATCATTTCTAGTATTACCCAGTGATTCTGTGGCACTATAGCTGTGCATGTCAGGGTATCCTTCACTGATGGGAAAAATGCTGAACACTCTACCTACACCCTGCTTAGCCACCTTAGAGCCACATTTGGGAGCTCAAATGTTCCTCTCCAGCACCCATATAAATGAGCTATTATTTTAGTTTTAAAAACTTATTAGAAAAATAAAGATCTTAATTCTACTATTTCAGAAGTTAGGAAGGAGCCACGGTGTGAGCCATTAGGTATGAAGACAATACTATTCTCAAGCTTGCCTTGATGATTTTCTTTTGTTTTTTGTTTTGTTTTGGTACCAGGGATCAAACTTGGGTCCTTGCACTTGTGAGGCAGGCAACAGAACCAATGAGCTAAATCCCCAGCCCATTACCTTGATGATTTTCTTTAGGACAGCTGGAGTATGAGTTCCAAGAGACCTCCTCTTGGCTGGTGTTTCTCCTCTTTTGAGTGGTGTATTAGGAGGCAAGTTTTCATCAAATAATTCAGGTCTTAGATGACCACCAAAGGACACACGCCTTCTCTTCAAAGACACATCCTCATTCTTATCTAAAGGAATACAAATGATGTGAAATGAACAATGAAAAAAAAAAAAAACCAAGACCTGATTTGTCAAATTAGTATTAAAAACTTATCAATCAAAAACTTATTGAAACCTGACACCTTCATTCTCTTGTAATATTGATAAATGCCAAATCCACCTCAGGACTTGAAATCTCACAGAAACCACTAAGACATCGAGTTCTACCTGGATAGGAGAGAGATTGCCTTTAAAAAATAAATTAAAAAAAAAATACACCTGGATGTAATGAAAGCAAAGGATCAGGCTGTAGCAGCAGTAGGCAATCTGGAGCAATGTGATACAATGGAGATAGGTTCGTAACAGTGGCATGAAAAAACTTTCTAAAACACATACTTGGGCTCAGAGCAGACCTGGCTAGCAAATATAAAGCATGACCTGTGAAAATTTCTCTAGGCAATGCTGACGATCATTTTGTGACCTAGCCTCCACCATACCACTTTCTGAACAACCAATCAATATAAACTGTTTGGCCAAGTGAGACTTCCTGAATATGAAGCTCAATGGAACACTCTGATCACAGGTACAAGTCACATTTTATAGGTATTTACACTTCCTCCACAAAAACAGTTAACAGGCAATCTGCAGAAACAGGGCCCTGATATAAGGATGGCTGTAGCCAAATGCCTGGCAACCCTTCCTTTCTATCCAGCCCTTCCTGAAGAATACAGGAAGATGGACAGAGCTCCAATGCTCACTGTAATAGCCATATCTCTGCTGCTTACTGTATGGGACTGTCAGTTTTCCTTTTGCAACAGGAACACAAAAAGAAAATTTCTTTTGGACATTCCTACTACAATAGTTATTCACCACTAATGTCTATGAAGCTTGTAGAACTTAAGCTGTCACAGAACCTCTGGGACTTGTCCAGTGACAATAAAAAAGTTCTGGCTGGAGGCTCTAAGAACAGACTGGGGCAGTTCCCAGAGCTGATCATTCATAGGCAGAAGTTTCAGCTGTCAGGAGAGTTTGCAGTCCCCTAAGAAGGAGTCGCCAGCAGATCTCCCTCTGCAGGTTGGGGCCCGATTTACAGTCCGCTTAGCTGTGCCTTTTCCTGAGGGTGCCATTGCTCCTGACCCAGCGCCAGGAGGGTAGCACCCCGTGCTGAGCGGTACCCCCCCACCCCCCACTTTCAGATCCCCTGATTGTGCCAGTCCTTTCACGCACTCCACAGAGGCATGGCTGGCTATAAAGGGTGGTGATTGATCCTATTGTGTTCCTGACTCTATCGATTGGGAAAAACAATAGGGATTGATTTGACAAGTTGTTTCCTCTATTACAAAAATGAGAATGTCTATGAGTCATTACAGAATCAACGGCTGGGACACAACGATATCAGGAAGATTTAATGACCCAGAGATTGAATCAAGGACATCCCAAGAGCAAAAATAAAGATGAGAAAACACTTAAAAAAGCAACAAAGACAGACTTCAAGTTCACCAATGGCAAACCGTAGGGCAAAGGAGGATGAAAAGTCTGATAGTGAAGCACCAGGACACTCAGAACTCACAACACAGGAAGTAACAAAACACATCAATCAAGCTCTAGAAAAATTCAAAACAGAAATAACTTCCCAGATAACCATAGAGATGGTGAGCAAAAGGAAAGTCATGATTCATGACTCTAGAACAGAAACTGGCAAAAAAATAGATGAGCTCAGGAACATAATAGAAACCATGAAGGCCCAGCATAAGAAACAAATGGAAACAATGACCACCCAACATAGGAAAGAAATGGAATCCATTAAACAGATTCAAACAGATATCCAGGAGGTTAAAAGTGCTATTGTGAAAGTGTACACAACAGAATAAAAGATTGCGAAGATAGAATCTCAGATATAGAAGACAGGATCACAGACAGTGACCATGAAAAGAGAGTTCTCTTAAAAACAGTAAGGGATCATGAAAAATGGATCCAAAACTCCTAGATAATGCAAAGAAGAATAACATAAGACTCAAAGAATCCATGAAGTAGCAGGAGAAAATGCAAATGACTTAAAAAAACTGTTCACAGAATTAATGACAGAAAACTTCCCAAACAGAGGGTAAGAATTTGACATGCAGATAAGTGAGGCATATAGGACTCCAACTAGCCACGATCAAAAAAAAAAATCTACACCTAGACATAATAATCAAGATCCCAGAAACCCAACAGAAGAACAAAATACTACAAGCAGTAAGAGAAAAGAAACAAATCACATGCAAAGGAAAGCCCATCAGAATCACAGCAGACTTTTCAACACAAACCCTCAGGTCAAGGAGAGCTGGGAGTGAGGTATTTCAAGTCCTAAAACAACCTCCAACCAAGACTGATGTACCCAGCAAAACTTGCTTTCAGAATGGATGCAGAAGATACTTCCATGACAAAGAACACTTAGAAACTTCATGAATACTAAACCAGCACTACAAGGAATTTTAAACAATATCCTAGAAAAAGAAAATGAAGATCACAACACCATGAGGCCCAACAGATCAAATCAAATAGCCAAGGCAAGAAACTAAAAGGAGAGGGCAAAAAATTAAAAAGAGTCAACAAAAGGACAATAACATGACAATAAGTCAATACATATCAGTTATAACCATCAATGTCAATGGCCTCAATTCACCAATCAAGAGAAATAGATTGGCAGAATGAGTTAAGAAGCAAAATCCAACAATATGTTGTATATAAGAAAAACACGTAATGCATAAAGAAGCCCATAGACTGAAAGTGACAGGGTGGAAAAAATTTTTCCACGTGACAGGAACTGAGAAAAAAGCAGACAACGTAAATTTCACACCAGAACTGATTAAGAGAGACAAAGAAGGTCACTACCATACTTGTAAAGGGAAGAATTCAAGAGGAAGAACTGACAACCATAAATCTATACGCACCAAATATAAATGCCCCCAAATATATAAAACAAATATTAAATAACATGAAAAAACAAATAAGCACTAATACAATTGTAGTGGGGGATCTAAATACCCCACTATCACAAATAGACAGATAGTCTAGGCAAAAAATAAACAATGAAATACCAGAACTAAACCAAGCTTTTGAATGCATGGACTTTTTAGACGTCTATAGTGTTCCACACCACAAAATCAGAATATACATTCTTTTCATCTGCACTTGGGTCATTCTCCAACATAGATCACATACTAGCTCACAGAACAGGTTTGAATAAATGCAAAAGAACTGAAGTTATTCCCTGGAGATTATCAGATCACAGTGCAATAAAGCTGGAGTTCAATAGCATAAGAAACCATAGGAACTTCACAAACACATGGAAATTGAACAACACTCTACTGAACAATCAATGGATCACAGAGGAAATTAAAGAAGAAATCAGACAGTTTTTATAAATAAACAAAAATGCCAATACAACATACAGGAATCTATGGGACACAATGAAAGCAGTTCTACGGGGAAAATTCGTAGCATTGAAAGCCCACATTAGGAAAACAGAGCAAGCTCAAATAAACAACCTAATGATGAATCCCAGACTCCTAGAAAAACAAGAGCAAGAAAAACCCAAAGCTTGAACAAAAGAGGAAATTATAAAGATTAGAGCAGAAATCAATGCAATGGAAACTAAGAAATTGATACAAAAAATAAATGAATCAAAGAGTTGGTTTTTTGAAAGAACAAATAAAATTGATAAACCCTTAGCAAACCTTATCAAAAAAAGGAAAGAAAAGGCTCAGATCCATGCAATCAGGAATGAAAAAGGAGAAGTCAAAACAGATCCCACAGAAATTCAGAGGATCATTAATACCTACTTTGAGAACCTGTACTCTAATAAAATGGAAAACACAGAAATGGACAGATTCTAGATACTTATGAATTACCAAAGTTGAATGAAGAAAATAAAACAAATTTTAAACACCCCAATAACAATCAGTGAAATTGAAAATGTAATTAAAAACTTACCAACAAAGAAAAGCCCAGGTCCTGATGGATTCACTGCTGAATTTTACAAGGCATTTAGAGAAGAACTACTGCTATTACTCTTCAGACTTTTCAATGAAATTGAAAGAGAAGCAATACTTTAAAATTCATTCCTGGAAGCAAGTATCACTTTGATTCCCAAACCAGGGAAAAATGTAACTAAAAAAGAGAACTACAGGCCAATCTCCTTAATGAATATAGATGGAAAAATCCTTAATAAGATAATAGCAAAGAGAATACAGAGGATTTTCAAGAAAAATCATACATCCTGATCAAGTCAGATTTATTTCAGGGATGCAAGGATGGTTCAACATACATAAATCAATAAATGCAATACACTATATTAACAAAGTGAAGAACAAAAACATGACCCTCTCAGCAGATGCAGAAAAGCATTTGACAAAATTCAACACCCATTTATGGTAAAAACCCTGCAAAATATTGGAATAGATGGTGTATATCTCAACTTAATAAAGGCTATCTATGAAAAACCAATAGCCAATATCATATTAAATGACCAAAAACTGAAAACTTTCACGTTAAAATCAGGAACAAGACAAGGATGCCCACTATCACCACTCCTCTTCGATATGGTTCTGGAAACATTAGCCAGAGCAATTAGACAAGAGAAAGAAATTAAGGCAATAAAGATAGGAAAGGAAGAAGTTAAACTGTCATTATTTGCTGATGATATGATACTCTACATTGAAGATCCAAAAAACTCCACCAAAAGACTTCTTGACTTAAATGACACTTTCAGCAGAGTAGCAGGATACAAGGTGAACACCCAAAAATCAATAGCCTTCTTGTACACAACAGACTCACTGAGAAAGAAATTAGGGAAACAATTCCTTTCACAATAGCACCCAAAAAAGTGAAGTATCTGGGAATCAATCTAACAAAAGAAGCAAAAGACCTCTACACTGAAAACTACAGCATTCTGAAAAAAGAGATCACAGAGGATATAAGAAAATGCAAAGATATCCCCTGTTCCTGGGTAGGAAGAATCATCATAGTGAAAATGGCCATACTACCAAAACTGCTCTACAGATTCAATGCAATGCCAATTGAAATACCAACACTATACTTCACAGAACTAGAAAGTAGAATCCAAAAATTCATTTGGATCCATAAGAGACCTAGAAAAGCAAAAGCCATCCTAGGCAACAGACACATGGCAGCGGGTATACCAATTCCCAATCTGAAATGATGATCCAAAGCCACTGTGATAAAAACAGCACGGAACTGGCAAAGAAATAGACCTGAGGATCAGTGGAACAGATTGGAAGACACAAAAACAACTCCAGATGTATTCAGCTACCTCATCTTTGACAAAAGAGCTGACCATCCCCACTGGAAGTAAGATACCCTCTTTAATAAATGGTGTTGGAAAAACGAACTCAACCTGCCAAAGATTAAAATTAGACCCTTATCTTTCACCATGCACTAAATTAAAATCTAAATGGATTAAAGATCTACATTTTAAAACAGAAACACTAAACTTGCTGGAAGATAAGTTAGGCAGAACTCTTGAAGACATTGGCATAGGAAAAGATTTTATGAAAAAATCCTCAGTAGTGTGGGAACTAACAGAATCAACAACTGGGATCTCATCTTATTAAAAAGCTTCTGTGCTGCAAAAGAAACCATCAACAGAACTAAGAGACAACCTACAATGTAGGAAAAATTTTTTACCAGCTGCTCCTCAGAGGACTATTATCTAGAATATTTAAAGAACTCAAAGGGCCGGAAATTTAGCTCAGTGGTTCGGTGGTCTGCCTTGCAAGCACAAGGACCAGAGTTCAATCCTGGTACCAAACAAACAAACAAACAAAAACTCAAAACAATTGGCCCCCCAAATATAAAGACCCAATTCAAAAATGGGCATCTGAAATGAACAGACATTTCTCAAAGAAGTAAAAGCAGCAAATAAATATATGAAAAAATGTTCCACATCACTGGTCATTCAAGAGATGCAGATGAAAACAACACTGATATTCCACCTCACCTCACAAAGAATGGCTGCTATTAAGAAATCACACAATAACAAATGTTGGCGGGGTTGTGGGGAGAAAGGAACCCTTCTCCATTGTTGGTGGGAGTGCAGACTGGTGCAACCACTATGGAAATCAATATGGAAATACCTCAAAGAGCTGGGACTAGAGGTTTCATTTGACCCAGCCATCCCTCTGCTGGGTATCTTTCCAAAAGAATTAAAAGAATCATACCCCAGTGATATATGTGCACCAATGTTTATAGCGGCACATTTTGTAGTAGCTAAAACTTGGAAACAGCCCGTTTGCCCATCTGTTGGAAACTGGATAAAGATGTAGTTTTTCTATAAAATGGAATACTACTCAGCAAGAATGATAAATTAGAGTCATTCGTAGGAAAATGGATACATATTGAGGATATACTCCTAAGTGAAATAAATGTCACACATGTATAAACAATACCCAATAGTTTCTCTGGTGTGAAAAACTATAATAGTACAGAAGATCCTAATGATATAATTGACCATGTGAAATAGGAAGAAAGGGCTAAAGGTGAAGGAAAAGTGGGAAGAGTAGGGCAAAGGGAACAAAGGAAAAGAAAAAATTATGAGAAAATGAAAAAATGGGAAATAAAGTGTTTGTAAATGCGGAGGGGAGGAGGGGGGGAAGGGAGGGTAAGGACAAGGGGGAAAAAATGAGAACCAAGACCTGTTTTATGTGAAGGTACAGGATCCCAGTAATGAATGTAACTGTACTGTATACCTAGATTGTACCAATAAACTTAAGAAAAAAGAAAAAAGAACAGACTGGAGACTGTAAATATGTGATGGATAGCACTAAAGTTCAATGATCCCCAAGAAATTTCCAATGATTTATTCTAAACAACCAAACTATTATATGATAGTGGCTCAGAACTGAACCACAAATAAAAAGTAATGATTATTTTTCTTCCTATTTTGTGATAAAAGGAAAGGTGAATCAAATGTTTTGGGGCAGCCCCCTATACCATGCTTATCTAAGGACCTGTGCCTTAGATACCTATTTGCACCTTGCTATAATTTTCTAGGTCTTTAGCACTCATCTCTCAGCTGAAACATGAAAATGACCCTTATTATATCCTAAATGCTTAGCAGATTCCTTACCACTAAGCTCACCATTGACTGAATAAAGGTCTCTTATCTACACATAGAGTATGTGTTAATCTTTTAGGGGAAAAGATTTGTATATTTAAACAAACTTACTAATGGAATCATCAAAGTTGTTGATATCAACTCAACTAAAACCAAATAACCCAGAGTAAATCTGCCCAGGTGTAATGCCCAATTTCTTAGGCTTGTCAGGGGAATCCTTTTGAAACTTCCTTTCAACTTGAGCAAGGTACTGAGTTAAAGGAGGCTGATTTTGAATTTCTCTATGCAACACTTTCACATTTGTAGGATTACTCCTCCTCTTTTTAGGAGAGAGTTTCCCTGGTTTATTGTCAGGGTCAGCAGCATCCTGAACTTTAGTTGGTGTTTGATTTCTAGTCAAAAGCTTCCTAGGAGTAATTGTTTCAGCTGCTTTGTTGTCTTCACTCTTACCAAGATTCATCGATTCTTCTCTGTCAGTGACATGCAGGTCTTCACTCTTACGTTTCCGTGATGATCTTTGTTGTGGTGAATGCTGCACAGGGGTCTTTCCGGTCTCCTCATAGAGAGAAATACCCGAACTTACAGATTCTTGAGAAGTCTGAATAGGCTCTGCATCATTTTGGCTTTCCTCAGCCTGGCTCATTTCTGGTGCAGGTGAAGAAGCACCATTAATGTGGGAGATTCTATTGGACTTTGGTCTTGATTTACATGACATCAATATCTGAGTCTCTTTCTGTGTACAATTAGCACTGCCCTTTTCTTTTGTGTAAGCAGTTGGTGATCCTGATTTTCTACGATACTGCACAACATTTTGTCTTTGTGATTTTACATCACAAAGCTCTTCCTTTATTGACTGATAGAGCTTCTTAAAGGGAGATTCATTTTTCTTGCTATTGTCAAGAAACTGTGTAGTAGAAAAACCATTCAGTTCTCCATAGCAGCCCACTACAGTTACCCTAGACTTTTCCTTAAGATCCCCAGTGGTGGGATCTCTTGCATTCCTGCTACTATGTCTTGAATTTTCTGAAGAAGGAGCCTTAAGTGGTTCCTGGGCAACACTGTCCTTTGAGCCATCAGAAGTAAGACTGTCCCGTTTGAGTTGCTTGACATGTACTCGAGATCTTCCTGAAGCACTTCCTTCAGTGATATTTGAGTGGGCCTTGAAATTTTGATCTTTCCCATCTGGGCAACAAATCATGAAATAAGAAACAGAAGGTTCAACATTTTCTCAGTGATTAACATTTATGGAATTCAGTATTTAATTGTTTCAAATAATGCGTAAAATTTGTAAGTCTTATAATAGTATTTCAACCTAAATAAATAATCTAATAACTAATCATGAGAATGTATGCTATCAAAACTACTTGGAATTAAATTTAGAATTGAAAAGGCAATTTATGTACACTTAGACTCTCCCTTTAACAAAGTACCCCATTAATCACTAGGGGAAGAAACTCAGCTATCTGCCTGTGTTTGACACATTAAATGCCAATGTCTTTTGGGTTCTGGGAGGAGGTATTTCACACTTGTGCCCCCTTTGTCCCTCCCTTGCCACTGTGACAGTGATCTGGTTCCGAGGATCCCAGAACAGAACCCAATCAGTACGAACCAAGGTCAGCAGAGAAGCTTGCTCTTGAGGAACGCCTTGTAGATTTCTGTGAATTGGGAAAAGATGAACAGCAATTTAAGGGCCTTCTTAAATGCTGGTGATCTTAACATGAAAATATTTTTTTCTTATTAATTATTTTCTTTGCCAAATGGCTCCTATGTGACTTTTAGAAATTTTGAGAACTGGGCCCAAGTTATTTGGGAGTTAATGGTCATGACAAAAGCACATTTTAGCTGACTT